TGGTTTTATTTAGCCACCAGAACTGAGAAAGAAAGTAATCACAACTCCGATTAAATGATCATCTTATAAGTCTGAGAACAGCCCAAAGTTCATGTTCTGTTCTGATCTTTGTATAAAGTATTTGTTCATGGAGATGTGTGAGAATTCCCATCCTGATCTCTAACGTGTTAAACAGAACATCTGGGGGTCAGAGCTGGAGGGAAAAACTGTTTCCAGACTCACATCCAGATGTTTCTGCAGCCAAACAGCAGCTGGAGAAATAAACAGCTGGTTGATTTGTTAGGATTTTTGTCCTCTGAGAAACTGGGAAACGTTCATTTTTGTTTCTTTATCAATGAAATGCTTAGCTGGTAAAATACAGACTAAAAACTGTTGGTTTGTTCTTAACTCTCCTCAAAGCTTTGCATGAATTTGATCCTGAAAGTGTCTGAAAGCAGCTGGTGTGTAGAGAAAATTTCAGAGACACAGTAAAAAGTCAAAAATGTATTTTCAACAGAGATTGAAACATGTTGAAGGTTCAGGCCCACAAACAGGAAGCAGAAATAACCACAAAAGTAAATGGAAATAATCTGGGGAAGTGAAAAAAACTGCTCAAGGATGGAAAAGAGTCTGACAGCTCGACAGAAGAGGAACCAGGACAGAAAAGGCACAGGAGGCTATTCTATCCAACTGTCACTCCTCTGTTACGCATGCTTACAATGTTTGGAACGAGTCCAGACCAGTTTTTCTTAACACCCAGAATGTCATACTGAGACTCCCTGTGTTTGAAGATCTGCTGGTGGAGGTTTTCACTGCTTTGTGCTGGTTCTGTGTTTCGGTCTGAGGCCCAAATGCAGCTGTAGGATTTCTGTCCTCTGAGAAACAGGGAAATGTGTATTTTGGTCAAATACAGACTAAAAACTGTCGGTTTGTTCTTAACTTTCTTCAAAGTCTCCAACACTTGTTTACTGACCGAGTGGAGACAGAGGAGCTGCAATAAACAGGATCATCTGTGTTGTAGTCCTACTGACTGAGAGGAAAAACCTGGGCCTGCAAGCAGAAGAGGTCTGAGTCCCGCCTATTAGACTTAGACAACTTTGCTATAAACGAAACTTTGACCTGACAAATCCGCTTATGCAAAAGTATGACATGACAGTCACACTCATCTGTTCCTGTGAGGTGGTTCCTCTTTAATAGATATGAATGAAGAACATGACATAACTAGGTCCCTGTGAGGTGGTTCCTCTTTCACTGTGTAAAATACTGAGAAACGTCCCTCTAGCTCTATCAGTTCATGTTTTCTGTCTGAGGAGGATCATAACACATTTCATCTGTCTCACCAGGGTCAGTCTGCTGTGAGGAGGAAGCAGAAACCTGAAGGTAAAGAGCTGCTGTCAGTAGAAAAAACTGTTTTACTGGAACAGGTTTTGGATCAGAACAGGAACCAGAAGGACCACCAGCAGGGAAATCTGAGCTCATTCCCACACCTTTGAGGGTAGAAACTATCAAAGACGGTTCATCTTTGTAATCCAAATTAGCCTCCAAACCAGCTTTCATTAAATCCAAAGAGTAGAAAATATCTGACTTAGTTCCACCTCTCTTAGATTGTATTGTTGTGGTATCATAATTTCGTTTGACACTTTGACATTTATTGCATTTCCTTGTGCGAACCTTCATATCTTTTGCTTCTTTCACGACTGAATTTTCAATTTGTGGGACAACAAAAACTGTTTAAGGTAATATAATAATGTTATGAGTTAAGAAGCTTTGGCTGATTAATTAAGCTTGAATATCAATGTAAGCACGTTTAAGAACGAGAACACAGTGAAAGTTCAGATTGTACATGTAGATAAATGATTTGAATCTTTTGACAACATGGAATCGTCCTTTTATCCCGCCTGGTTGGGTTTTACCTCCAGAGTTTGGCTCCCTCTGCTGAAGCCTCTTTAGTACGACGACAGCCCACAGGATGAAGCTTTTACTTCTTCCTGTTGTTTCCTCTCTGCAGTTCACTAGCAGCCAGATGTGTTGAACCGGAGGATTATTCTGACATTCTTCATTATTAGTAACATTTTAGTGGTTAGTTCTTTGTTTAATGTGGTGAATCACAACAATAATCCATCAGCTGAGTCACAGAAAACCCATTTTTGCTAAGAAGCAGACGGAATGGTTCCTGTAACAGAAGCTGAAGTTAGTAAAGCAGCAGCTCCGTTCTGCAGGAGGAAAAGTCCCAGAACAGAGATCTGTGTTCAGGACTTTCTGGATGTGTGTGACTCTCCTCTGTCTCCTCTCTCAGGATGAAGACGCTCTGCTGGACCCTGCTGCTCCTCATCCTCTCTCCATGTGTCTGTGGTCAGTTTCCATCTTCCCTTCCTGAGGTCCAGAGTCCAGTCTTGGCTCCCACAGAGCAGATCAGTGGGGTCAGGTGTCCAGACTCCATGTTGCAGCTCTCAGAGCTCCTCTCTTTCCCTCTGTCTCCTCAGCGGCTGCGTTTGGAGTGAATGTGACACAGAGACACTATCAGGCAGAGGAGACCCACAGCATCACTCTGGAGTGGACGTTCACCACCCACCCT